CTCTGTCACCCAGGCTGGAGTGCAGTGGTGCAGTCTCGGCTCACTGCAACCTCCACCTCCTGGGTTCAAGCAATTCTCCCGCCTCAGCCTCCCAAGTAGCTGGGATTACAGGCACCCGCCACCACACCCACCTAATATTTGTATTTTGAGTAGAGATGGAGTTTCACCATTTTGGCCAAGCTGGTCTTGAACTCCTGCCCTCGTGATCCACCCATTCAGACTATAACAAAGGAATATGTTTTCCACCTAAACCTTGTGATGAGAGTGAGAAAGAAAGAGCTGACCCATAACTTTGGAAACCAGTGTAAGACAAAAGAAATGTACACACTGTACTCTAGGAGATAAATTCGTTCCTCACATGGCTATAGGCTAGCAATATTGGAACTCTTTTATATGTTTACTAGGATTGAACAAATCAATATATTGCAGATCATGAGAGCCAGGTTTCTCACTGTTGAAGATGTACAGATAAGCAAGTGGGGGAAGGCTGGAATGAACCTTGTGCTGGCTTCAGTTTGGTGGTGTTAATATGAATTAATTAGGATAGATGGATGGATACACAAATATAGATGTGTGTATACATATAAGTATACTTATATATACAGTCATACATCACTTTATAACAGTCATATGTTCTGAGAACTGTGTCATCAGGTGAATTCATCATTGTGTGAACATCATGTGTACTATATGGCATAGCTTATTGCTCCTAGGCTATAATCCTGTATAGCTTCCTTACTGTGCAAATACTGTAGGCAGTTGTAACGCAATGGTAGTTGTATATCTAAACAGAAAATAAACAGTACCAAAAAAGATGAACAGTAACAAATATGGCATTAAAGATTTTTTTTGTAAATGGTAATCCTGTTTAGGGCGCTTTACCATGAATGGAGCTTGCAAAACAGGAAGTTGCTCTGACTGGTGAATGGATTTGAAAGCCTAGGACATTACTACACAGTACTGTAGACTTTATAAACACTGTAAGCTTAGGCTGCAGTAAATTTATTTTTAAAAACCTTTTCTTCAATTATAAATTAACTTTAGCATACTGTAACTTTTTTACTTCATAAACTTGTCATTTTAACTTTTTGACTTTTTGTAATAACAGCTTAAAACACATTATACAGCTGTACAAAAACATTTTCTTTATATCTTTATTTTATAAGTGTTTTCCTATTTTTGAAATTTTTGCCATTTTTACTTTTAAAAACTTTTTTTTGTTAAAAATTAGAACACATTGGATTTATAGGCTAAGAGTTCAAATAATAAAAATAATTAGAACACAAATACACACACTAGCTTAGGGTCACACGAGGTCAGGATCATCAGTATCACTGTCTTTCACCTCATATATTGTTCCACTGGAGGGTCTTTAGGGGCAATAACATGCATGAAGCTGTCATCTCCTATGATAACAAAGGCACCTTTTTTGTTTGTTTGTTTTTAAGTTTTGGGATACATGTGCAGAACCTGCAGGTTTGTTACATAGGTATACATGTGCTACGGTGGTTTGCCGCACCTATCAACCCATCATCTAGGTTTTAAGCCCGCATGCATTAGGTATTTTTCCTAATGCTCTCCCTCCCCTTGCCCTCCACTGCCCCAGTATTCCCCTCCCTGTGTCCAGATGTTCTCATTGTTCAACTTTCACTTATGAGTGAGAACATGTGGTGTTTGGTTTACTGTTCTTGTGTTAGTTTAATGAGAATGATGATTTCCAGCTTCATCCATGTGCCTGCAAAGGAAATGAACTCGTTCTTTTTTATTACTGCATAGTATTTCATAGTGTATATGTGCCACATTTTCTTTACCCAGTCTGTCATTGGTGGGCATTTGGGTAGATTCCAAGTCTTTGGTGTTGTAAATAGTGCAAAGTCTTCTTTTGGAACACCTCCTGAAAGACCTGCCTGAGGCTGTTTTACAGTGAACTTTTTTAAAATAAATAAGTGGGATACTCTAACGCTGAAAAGCATAGTATAGTAAATACTAGACAATGGGATTTTTTGGCTACATTATAATTTTACAGGAGCATATTGTATATTGTATGCTGTCCATCGTTGACCACACGTTGTTATATGATACTTGACTATATCTGCCTAGCTTTCTCTATTGAGAGGACCCCAAAGCAATGAGCACATCTAGCCCCTAGATTTGGTTTCTAAATACTCTTCTCCATTAAAAAGATCCAAGGCTCCTTGAAGAAGTGGTTGATTTCTGGGCCAGGACAAGGGAAATTTAAGATGAGCTTGGAGGCGTTTTGTGGTACCTGAAAGTAAAGAAGTACATTAGAAGATGAGGCGTGTTCACAGGATGTGGGAGCACACTTTATTATAACTCCCAATGGCCAAAGCTGGAAAAATTTAAGCAACAAATTAAATAACAATAGTATTTGTATTTGATTATAACCTAAAGAATAAAACAGATATCCTTGTGTCCATACTTACAGAAGAATTTCAATTAATGTAAAATATACGAGGGAACCATTAAAACACCATAAATAATAATTGTTACAAGATCCCCTAATTAATGTTAAAGTTAGTGGGTAAAGGAGAATCAGAATATTTGCGTAGTTACAAGATATCTCCCCAAAAACATTTACAAAGTTAAATAGTAACTTTACTGTGGAGAAACCTGTGGGACACTACCTTACCCAAGTGATCATGATTAATTATAACCAGTAATAAAACTTGTATCCCCTGGACCTAATGCACTGAGAAAGGTGCATCACCTGTATGGAATCTTTCCCACAAAATGCATAACCTCTATCCAGTCATGAGAAAACATAAGAAAAACCTAAACTGAGGATGTTCTACAAGATAACTGACCAATACTCTTCAAAGTGTCACGGTCATAAAGGACAGGGAGAGACTGAGGAGCTGTTACAGACTGGATGATGCTGAAGAGACCTCAGAATGTGCTGTGTGGTCATGGATAGGATCCTAGAATAGAAAACGTAAACTAATGGATTCCAAATAAAGCCGAGTTTAATTCATTGTATTAAACTCATGTTAATTTTTTAGTTTTGAAATTTTTTGCTATAGTTACTAATATATAAGATGTTAACATTAGGAGAAGCTTGGCATAGGGGAATTCTGTCCTTCACAAATCTGAAATTCTTTCAAAATGTAAAACATCAATTTTTTCTCAGAGTCCAGTTTTATTTTCACATACCTCAAAATTACTGATAAAATACCAATAGAGAAAAAAAAAGGTTGTTTTTCTCTGATCACCATCATTATCAAACACTTCTGGTTTTGTGACATATTTAAAATATATTTTGGTTATTTGCAAACTATGAATCTGACAAAGATCTAATATTCAACTTCTATAAGGAACTTAAAGAATTCAACAAGCAAAGAACCAAATAACCTCACTAAAAAAGTGGGCAAAGGACGTGAACAGATTCTTCTCAGAAAAAGATACACAAATGGCCAACAAACATATGAAAAAATGCTCATCACTAATCATCAGAGAAATGTAAAACCACAGTGAGATACTATCACATACCAGTCATAATGGCTGTTATTTAAAAGGCAAAAAAAAAAAAAAAGATGCCAGTGAGGCTGCAGAGAAAAGGGAACACTTAAACATCATTGGTGGGAATGTGAATTAGTTCAGCTACTATGGAAAGCAGTTTTTAAGTACCTTCTTAGGGTACGTAAAAAAGAACTACGATTCAACCCAGCAATCCCATTACTGGTTATATACCTAAAGAAAGATAAATCAAAGATAAATCACCAAAAAGACACATGCACTCATAGGTTTATTGCAGCCCTATTTACAATAGCAAAATCATAGCATTAACGTAGGTGCCCTTCGATGGTGAATTGGATAGAGAAAATGTGGTACATAATACACCATGGAATACTCTGCAGCCATAGAAAAAGAATGATATCTTGTCCTTTGCAGCAACATGGATGCAGTTGAAGACTATTATTCGAAGTGAATTAATACAGGAACAGAAAACCAAATACTACACCTTCTCAATTATACGTGGAATCTAAACACTGAGTACACATGGACATAAAGATGGGAACAATAGATGCCAAGGACTATTTTTATGGTGGTTGAGAAAGTAGCAGCTATCACATGCCAAAGCACTGTGCGTGGCACCACCATTCTAATCCATAGTAGCTTTGTCTGGGGTCTTAATATTAGGGACTAGCATGGTTGTTTGGGAGATGTTGTTTACTATTGTCCATTGGGCTCACTCTAACACTTTTGCTGTTTTCCGTACACCTAGTTCTATGCTAGTTCCTGTAGAAATACGTAAGTCAACATCATGATTCCTGCCAATAAACTCCCATTTGTTTGAAAGAAGAGAAACATGAAAGCGTTGTAAAGGGTGAAAAGACCGGTGACTTTAGAGATTTTGTGATCATATCTTCACTGTCTCTTCATCACTAAATCTGTGGCCTTGTATATTTATTTAAACTCACTGAATCTATTTCCTTATCTGTAATAGAGGATATTAATATCAGTCTTACAAGATATTTCCATGAGCATAACACCTGGCACGTAGAATACATTTAACAAATCGTGCCTGTCATTACCATGGTGGTGGTTGTAAAAAGTGATAGACCTGCTGGGCGCGGCGGCTCACGCCTGTAATCCCAGCACTTTGGGAGGCCGAGGCGGGCGGATCACGAGGTCAGAAGATCAAGACCATCCTGGCTAACACAGTGAAACCCCGTCTGTACTACAAAATACAAAAAAAAAAACTAGCTGGGCGAAGTGGCGGGCGCCTGTAGTCCCAGCTACTCGGAAGGCTGAGGCAGGAGAATGGCGTAAACCCGGGAGGCGGAGCTTGCAGTGAGCTGAGATCGCGCCGCTGCGCTGCAGCCTGGGCGACAGAGCGAGCCTCCTTCTCAAAAAAAAAAAAAAAAAAAAAAAAAGTGATAGACCATTGGAATACAACGTAGTTTTTTACAGTAAGTAACTTTTTTCTTTGAACATTATGGTACGTGTTTGACTCAGTCTTTGTGCTTTCTCCCTTTTAGAGATGATGAAGAGAAAAAGAAGTCTCCTTCAGAAAGTACTGAGGAGAAAGCTAATGGAACACATCCAAAGACCATCAGTCGTATTGGAAGTACTACTAACCCATTTTTGGACATTCCTCATGATCCAAATGCTGCTGTGTACAAAAGTGGATTCTTGGCTCGGAAGATTCATGCAGATATGGATGGAAAGAAGAGTAAGTATCATGTGTTGTCATTTTCTGTTTCATTTATTTCATCTTTATGCTCAAAGTGAATTTATCTGAAAGTCAAGGATGAAAAAAATCATGTTTATCTATTAGACATATTCTTGAAATTTGATATAGCCTCTAACCCTAAATTAAAAATCCAATGTGGCACCTGCTCTTCTCTAAACAGAATTATAGAACTTTAGAAATGGCAAACTTCTTACAATTTATTCATTCTCTGTCCTTTCATTTATTTAGTCATGGTTTCAACAAATAATACTGACTACCTGCTGTGCCAGGCACCAGAAATACAGTGGTGAGCAAGAGGGACAAGGTTTCTGTCTTCATGAAGTTTACATTTCTGGTGGTTGAGGAAAGATTGAATTTGCAATGCATAGAAAAATTAATGGTGTATGGTCCCAGAGACAAGGGATGGAGGGAGGGAATTCGTATCCAGTGCATATGTGGAATGACTGGCCTTTGAGAAGGTGGACAGGTGAGATGTAGGAGAGCATAGTATAATTAGCTTTGGGAAATTGAAGGAGCCCAATTGGATGGCTTCTGATATCTCTATGAAGTATGAGGCATGATTATCTTGATAAATGATGGTGTTTGGAATTTGATAGGAATGGAGCATGCTTATATAGTTAGAATAATCTTTGCAGAGTGACAGCAATTTTATATACTTGAACAGAGTAAGATAAGGTGACATGTTTGCTCAGAATTATCTTTGGGGTGAAAAGATGGATAGTACCACTGTTTCTATCTGTGGCTGGATCCTTTTTCTTAATGTGTTAGCATATTCTATTAGCTTACAGTCGAGAGAAACATTGCAGTGGAGTGGCTTTGACATGGACTTAGCAATGCTGAACAAATTTCTTAATGTTCCCAAGTTCTTTAAGACTACATCCACCATATTTTCTGGGCACCTTATATACTGGATTATTAGACTACTTAATTTTATCTCACAACATCATGTCAGAGTTCATACAGGTGTAAGTGACAGCAAGTCAATCTATCTTAGAAAAAGGGCACACCTGAAGATGGATTGTCACCCGGACGTACTCTCCACTTCTATCTCTGCGTGATTTTTTTGTGTCAGCACTATTCTTTGGAATTAGGTCTTTTATACATGGTTATTAGCAGCGCTATAGATCGTGTGTTTAATTTTGACACCAAAGAGGATTCTTCTTCTTCCTTAACTTCTAATGTAGTCTGGTCTAGTACAGGATTCTGACTTGCATCACTAAGAGGATGGAATATTATGATTGTCAGCCCCCACTCACATGCAATGGCAAGAGGAATGAGATACTGGTCTCACAGAATAGGAATTCTTGGCACACAAAGCAGTAGATATCCATTTCTTTCTTTCCAGTGTGCACACACACCCTTCTTCATACATTGAATAATGCATTTGCCAAACATTGCAGTTTTCCTTTTACAACCACAAATATACCATTTCTCTGTAACATGCCTGTCCAGCTGCAGCTTCTGTCTCCAAGGCTAAGATTTGTTGATTGTGTTCATTCCCCTCAGTCGGGTATGGATGGCACTTAAATCTATAGGCTAAGTGAAAAATTTGAAAATCCAGTTGTCCCTTAATATCTGTAGAGGATTGATTCCAGGGCCTCTCACAGGTACCAAAATCCAAGGACACTCAAGTCCCTGATGTAAAATGGCATAGTATTTGCATGTAACTGATGCATATCCTCCCATATACTTTAAACTATCTCTGGATTACTTATAATATCTAATACTGTGTAAATAGTTGTTATGTTGTATTCTTTGGGGAATAATGACAAGGAAGAAAGTCTGTACATATTCCATACAGACACAGTTTTGGAGGGAATATTTTCCATCCACTGTTGGTTGAATCCACAGATGCGGAACCCACAGATATGGAGAGTTGACTGTATCTGACATACCTCACATAAAGTACTAGAGAAAAAGAAAGAATAATTTCAATTCAAGAAAAGACAAAAAGGGGAGGTATAACAACTGTCACTTATTTAGAGTGTTTACTACATGCTACTAGACAGAGATAGCAAAGTTAACCCATGTGAGCATCTTTTCATTGACTCATTTCCTAGCAATGGATTGACTTAATTGGTTAGTTTATTCCAAAGTCCCCAGATTCTACTGATTAAATTTTCCTTGTCCACTGTTTTCCTGGACCGAGTGGCCCAGAAAACCTCCTCTATTGGAGGATTCTCCTGGTGGAAGCTCTTCTCCCTCAGCAGCCTAGTACATATGAATATAGATACAGAACCTGAGGATTGCTTAGCAGTTGAGACATCACAGACACCTTGTACCAGACCAGAAGTTTTCCTGCCAGTATATCTCCTTTGAAGCCTTAGTTAACTGTCTTGAGAATTTCTGGTTGGTCAAGTCAGTTGTAAGTGTCATGGGGCTTTTGTCTTTGTAGCAAGTTAAGAAGTTCTTCCTGTTTTCGAAAGGAACCTGCCTCAGCTTGTTTCTATCTCTATTCGTGCCTGAGAACAAAAGGGAAAATGTATGGATGGGTTAAGACGTGCCCATCTCCAGGCTTCTTTCCTGTCAATTGCTTTATCACTGGAGGACTTTTAACCTGTTTTTCATGGGGCTATCAGGAGGAGCCTGGAAGTTTCAGCTGACTTTAATTCCTCAGGCTCTTCCTGGATATCCCCATTTCAATTTCCCGTGGTTTCCAGATCACATTAATGTTAGCAGATAATTCAGCCTTACAATACGGAATGTGCATGACTTCTGATAGTTTACAGAAACTAAAATTCACCAATTTAGAGTATATAGTTTGAGTTTTGAAAAATGTATGTGGTTATATAACCATCAACACAATTAAGATAAATAACATTTCCTTTACCCAAAATAGTTTAATTATACTTTTTGCAGTAATCCTTCTCCTCTTACTCCCATCCTATGACAATTACGACAATTGTCTGTCTTTGGGTCCTATACTTTTACCTTTTCTAAAATTGCATTACATGGAATCATAGGACTGCTTTGTGTCTGGCTTCATTCACTTAGTGTTATTCTTTGCAGATTCGTGTATAGTGTTAGGTGTTGTGTGAATTAATAATTAATAGTTTCTCTCTTCTTATTGCTTAATAAGTATTCCATTATTTGGATATTCCATAGTGTATTGATTTACCAGCTGAGCATTTGGGTTGTTTCCAATTTTGAGCTATTATAAATAAAACCCCTGTGGACATTCACATATAAGTTTTTGCATGTACATATGATTTCATCTTTTTAGAAGTTACCTAGGAGGAGAAGAGTAAGATTGCTGCACCATGTGCTAAATGTATCTTTATAAGAAATTTCTAAAGTTTCTATGTCATTTTGCATCCCTTATACCTATATATATATATTATGTCTTCCTGATGATTTGTCACCTTTGTCATGAAGTGACGTTCCACATCCCTGGTTATATTCCTTATTTTGGAGTCTACTTTGTCTAACATTAATATAGCCACTTTAGTTTCCTTTTAGTTTTTACATGGTATACACATTTTGTTTCTATCTTTTTATTGTTAATTTATAACTGTGTCTCTAAAATTGCTTTCTGTTATATGGAATATTGGTGGGCCTTGCTTTTTATTCTAAATCACATATCTGTCTTTTAATTAGAGTATTTATACCATTTACATTCGTAGTAGTTATTGGTATAGTTGACTTTAAATCTGCCATCTTACTGTTGGTTTCCTATTTATTCCATCTGTTATTTTCCTTTCTTGTGTAGGATTATTTTTTGTGTGTGGTTCTGTTTTTTGTCACTGTTGGCCTATTTGCTATACTTCTTTAATTATTTTAGTATTTGCTGCAAGGTTTACAGTATACATCTTTAACCTGTCACAGCTCACCTTCAAATTGTACTGCTTCATTTATAGTTTGAGACCCTTATATCAGGTTAATTCCCCTTATCTCTTCCTAGCCTTTGTGATGTTGTCCTGTATTTTAATTCTATGTTCTAAAACTTAAAGTAGTTCATTGTTAATATTTTTGCTCTAAAGAGAAACCTTTTTTTACTTTTACCCCCACATACCTGCTGTCAGGAATTTTTCTCGTGTTTTATCAGAGTGAAAATATCTTTATTTTCACCTTAATTTTAGGAATTTATATTTACTGGGTATAGAATTCTTTGGCAAGTTGCTTTTCCTTTCAATACTTAAAGATGATGTTTCATTTTTCCCTGCCCTGCAGGATTTCACACAAAAAAGTCTGCTATCATCCTTATCTTTATTCCTCTGTATCCAAGATGGCTTTTTCTGCTACTACGAATGCTTTCAAGGTTTTTCTATCTCTGGTTTTCATTGATTTTATTATGTGATGTCTTAGTGTGATTTTCTTTGTTTTCCTTATTTGGTGTTTGTTGGGGTTCTCGCCTTCATAGGTTCGTATTTTTTTCAGCCATTATTTCTTAAAGTACCGACTCCTGTTATGGGATTTGGTTTCTCTGTGATACTCAATGCTATCCCAAGGGTTTACTGAAGCTTTTTCCAATATTTTTAACTCTTTGTCCTTTCAGTACTCTATTTGGATAATTTCTATTCTTCATTTACTTCATTTTTCATTTCATAAACAGCATGTTTATCTTTGAAGTTCAACATGGGTCTATTTTATATCTTACATTTCTCTCCTTACCAGGTTGTTGTTTTTCTTCATGTCCTTGAATATATTTATTCTGTTTATAATTGCTTTTTTAAGGTTCTTCTCTTTGATTCCCTTCCTTTCTGTCATTTCTGGAACTGTTGCATAATTTTTTTTTTCCTTTTTCTTTGCTTTCCTTGTGATTTTTATTCAAGTGCCAGACATTGTGAATTTTCCATCTTTCGGGTGCTACTTTTAGTTGTATTCATTTAAAAAAAAAAAAATTGAATTTTCTCCTGGTGTGCAGGTAAGTAACTCGTAGATTAACTGAATTCTTTAGAGGCGTACCTTTACCCTTTGTTCTGGTGGATGCAGAGCAGTCTTTATTCTGGGACTTGTTTATTTCCATTAATAAGGCATTC